TATATATATTTTATATAGGATTTATAGGATTTTTAAATAATACTTGCAAAATATTTAATTTTATAATAAATTTAAAAATACTTATTAAAATTTAATTAGTTTAAATAAATTAAATTACAAGTAATTTTAATTTATTAAACAGTTTTTTTAATGGTAAAAAAAAAATAATTCAATTTAAAAACTACATTATCCCTTAAACTGTAGGGGTTAAAATTAATTTTAAAAATTTTTGAATTTTTAAAATATCTTAAGGTCTAGTGATTATAGAAAGATGAAATTATATTTGTTAGATTCCTCTTATTAAGGCGCATTTAATGGTAATAAAATAAAAAGTTATATTAATTTATAAATTTTTAGATTTTATAAGTTATCCTGTCACATAATATTTATAGGACAATTTTATTTCTATCAGATTCTTCTCATTAAGATGCATCAAATGGTGGTAATTTTATGTTTCTAGGTGTAATGGATAAAAAGATATTTCAATTTGAAAAATTTAGCTACTATTTGTTATAATTTGTTGATCATTTACTTTTAAAAAATCATTAATCAAATTGAACTTTTTTTTCGATTTTTACTTAGAAAATACTATAGAATTTATTACAAAAATATTGGTTTATGTAATAAAATATTTTAAGATATTTAAAAGTGTCTTTAATTAAAAAACAAAATTGCAGGCAAATTTGGCTGCAAAACAGTTTAAGGGATAGTTAAAATTTGTAAAAAAATCAATAATTTTAGTATAATAATTCTTTTTAAGTGCATGTATTAATTTTTTCTCTAAATGCGTCCTTTTACTCAGTATTAAGTATATAAAGATCATATAAAATTTCCTTCTCTAAATGCATGTTTTTTCAAATTTTCATTATGGTTCCAAGGGGATGCATTTAGAAGTTGACTGCAATTTATAAAATTTGAAGTATTTACCTTTATTAATATCTATATTTTTTAGTAAATATGTTTCTTATCTTACTTTTACAATAAAATTATATAAATATACATCTAATTTTTATAAAATATAAGTATTGGTTCAATTAAATAAAATTAAATTACCAGTAATTCTAATTCTACTAAATAATTTACTAATAATTTGTTAAGACAATTTTAATTTTCCAAAATACTAAATAATTCTTGTATATTTAATTAAATTCACAAATATTTTTTAAATTAAGAAGCAAGTAACTTCAAACCTCCTTTTAACAATTTTCCAGAATTTTATGTTTACATGTAAATATTTTTATTTTGGTTAACTGATACTAATTTTTAGGGTAAGTAAAAATTCAAGTGATCGTCATCGAGAGATCATGTGTTGTTATAAATATAAAGTGAGAGAAACAATAATTTTAACGCTCTTGGATTGTTCTGTTATATCTTGCGGCTGTATGAGATAATCAAATATGGTTAAATGAAAAATGAATGAATTAAATTGTCTAATTCTTCGTCCCTTGTGGTTTAAAGTAAATCTTTTGAAAATATTTCTTCGCCATTTGTTACTTTAAACTTTGAATGCAACATGATAACGATAATCCATCATCTCACTGTGTTACTCTGTATGGTTTTGAGTTATGCGTGTTTTTTTTTGATTCAAATTTCTTTATTTAGATAGATAGATACTTTTTGCGGTATATTAATTGTAAACCCCAAACAAGACCTATGTTTTTATGAGGGTTCACGCGACCCATTCTGAATTGCTACTTTATAAATTTTATACATTTGATATCATTGAAATAAAAAAAAATAAAATAAAATGTAATGTTTATTATATTATTTTTGTTTGACAATTTTACTTTAATGCGATATTATAAATTGTCACACCATTCATCCCGAGAAATTTTCATGGCGCAAAATTTTAATTTCAATTGGCTAATTTTCGTATTACTTTTTTGATTTGAAACTGCAGCACCTTAAAAATGCTATAAACTTCATTACGTCAATTTTTAAGTTTTTTAAAAAAAAAGAAAAGAAAAAGGAAAATTAAACAGATCCTATAAAATCCGATTTTGTCAATAAAATAAATTGATTGTTTTGTTGTAAAAATAATATTTTATCATTTAAAATTATTTTGAACTCTATTTAGTAATTTAAAAAAAATATTTAGAAATGTGTATTACCTAACTCCATCAACATCACGAGTGAACTCCTTAATCCTTATGGAATAAAAATCAGCCTTATTCAATAATCTTAACCTAACGCGTCACATTTCAAGTTTCGATTTCTTATTTGAAATTGGTTATAATTAAAAATATTCGATTGTTGTCATAATATTTTATAAAACGGGACAGATCGGAATGAATACATGTTTGTGTGTGTAAATGCAAAATATGAAATCCTTTCTTTTGAAAATATTTATTTAGTATTCGATAACATTCGGCTAAATTTTCCGAATTATTTGAACTTTTCGAATGAAATTTCCCATTAAGGTAATTTTCCAAAGATTAAGGGACAATTTATTAAAGAGGATTTACTACATGATATTACTTTATACTTTAGATAATGATAATATAGGAAATTAAATAATGAATAGTTAGACGTCAGGTTTAGTGACACAGTTGATTTTATAAACAATCTTTCGTAAAATTGAAGTATTCAAATTCCGCAATTCCGCATACATTCAGTAATATTTAATAATTGTATTACATTACTAATGATAATCATAAATGAATTCCCTATTATGCGAAGTTTAGAAATTGAAGAATGGTATTATTGTAATTTTATTTATAAAAGGTCAGATTATGGGGAGTTTTTTTTTTAAAAAAAAATTATTACGATACGTTACAAATTTGAAAGTAAGAGATAGCTGAATGCCTTAGTTGAGATGTCATTTTCTCTAGAATTTTAGTTTCTAATTAATAATTAACAAAAACACATTCATCTTTTAGGACCAGACTTGTTGCCAAATTCCAAAAAATCATGTGACGCTTTGGTGTCATAGGCGTCATGGCGCAGCTTCGAAACTTTGTAATTTTGGTTTGTCATCGATATTTTCGATATCTAATACTGAATTTAAACAAAATTAGATGGCGGTTATAGTGTTTTATCGATAAAAAGGAAGTTAAGTCTAAAAGGAATTCATAACAAAAAAAAAAAAAAAATCATGAGAAGAAAGAATTAATACATTCATACGATATCTTTCGTTCATGCATGCGTACTTTTTTTTTTACTACGCCAAAACTAGAAATAATTTACCTATGCATATTTGCAACTATTATTAACCATGTACTATGCATAAGTTCATATTATGGTCTAATAATAATAATAAATTATAATTTATATTATATTAACGCCATGTTCTTTTTTAACAAAGTATTTTGGAAATTTATTTGGTAACTTGTATGTAATAAGTTATTTCCGCAAGAGGTAATATAATAAAAGAATTTTTTGTACATCCAAATAATAGATTGAAAAAGGAAATTTTAATTGAGATCTTTTAAAATTTATTAACGAATTCATTATATACCCATTCTTTAGACGTAAATCCATAAATAGAGATTTAATATTTATTTATTGAAAAACTTTATGCTTATATTCTTGGTAAAAAATATGTTTCTTTTTGTGTTATGTTACATAAGAATTTTTAATTCATTTTTTGATCAAAAAAAATTTTTTTTTTTAAAAAAAAAATTCTTGTGTAATACGAAATCATAACGTCCCCCAAAAATATTGAAACATTAAAATTTTTATTGATTTTTATTGCTTAATAATCTCTTTTAACTTTTAATAGTTAACTTTTTTCCGGACCGAATTTTAACAAATCTTCGAAATAATAAATTCTTTAACCAATATAATTGAAATTGAAATTGAATTCATTCAATTATTTATTTATGTTTTGACCGTCAACTGACTTTTGAGTAGTACAATGATACCATCTAAAGATTATGTCTCCATAATGGTTAAAATTTTATGGAATTTCACAATTTTCCTTACATAAAAAATCATTGATAATCCTGCTTAAACAAAAAAAATTAGATAAAAAGGTTCATTGTATTTACAAAAATATGGTTGATTGTTTTTAAAGAATTTTCTTTTGGCATTAAATACATTCAACGAAGATAAGGTGGACATTCATTCATTCATAAAAATATCCTCCATCCATTATTAAATTTATTTTCAAATGAATTTAAAATGAATTAAATGAATTCAGGTTTGAATTTTATTTATTTATTTTTTTTTGCTTTCATTTCTTTCCTTTTTTTTCTTTATATTGTAACATTTCATAATTTTATTTATTTATTCATTTATTTTTAACTGGTTAATATAGGTTTACGAAATACTTGAATTTTTTTTTTGAACATCTCTATCGTAACCTCACAACGTTGAAAAAAATCTGGTTGGATGATTAATGTTTACAATCATTTTTTTTTACACATCATAACAAACACATATAAGCTTATAAATTATGTAAAAAAATAATGTATGTGCTATTTTATAAAATTAATAGCATGTACATTAATTATATTTAATCTTAAAAAACAAGAAATCTTAATTTTTTATTATAATCTTAAATTTAGCATACATTTAAGAAATCGAATGAGACCTCTAGCGAAAAACGAAACGAATAAAATATATAAAATATTTTTTTTTTTGTTTTTTTTTAAAAAAAAAAATATCTAGGTAGGTTAGTAGTAGGAATCTAACTAGATATTTTTTTCTTTTTATATATATAAATAAGATAAATAATATAAATATGAATTTTGAAACTAATTGAATAAAATAAAAATAAATAAAACCGATTTTTATAAAGAAAAAAAAAGCGAANTAACAAAATAAAAAAAAAATAAAAAAAAATAGGAGGTCATTCTCATTCTTAACTAATTGACCTTAATGTTCATAATAAATTTGCATAATTTTTTTTTTTTTTAAAAAAAAATCGAAATAAAAAAATCGAAAAATAACCCCGATTGGGTAAACAGATGATTGAACTTTGTTCAATCTTAAAAAGGTAATTCGGATGAAATCCTGGTGAAAAAAAGTGAGAAAAATAACGAAAAATTAGATAAATTTTAAAATTCGAATTCGTTAATGAAGAAATTATTGTACATATTATAATAATATGGATGCAAGGATTGACTAGGAAGCGTCGCCGTAAAAGTGTATTCGGTCAAAATAGAGTAATCAGCTCCCAAATATTGGTCATTAATGGGAGTCATAGGTTGGTTAAGGTGGTTGAAATTTTGTTGATTCAAAATATTAGTCTGTGGGATCGTTTCCTCGGAGACTACTTTCACAGGTTTTGATTTTTTAAATTTCCTCCCTGCTTTAAAAATATGTGCTTGTCTGTTCGGACTATATCTGTATTCGGGGTAATTTAGCTCGTGAAAATATTTGACCGTTTCGGACATTTGCTTAAAAATGAGTCTTGTATCAATGGGAAGGTTTACCCAAAGGCAAGATGAAACCTTTCCCAAATACGCTTGGCTAGATTTTAAAACTATTTGCTCATTCTCGTATTCAAATGTCAATCCACGTCTTTTTGCGTATTCAGAAACGTATTGTCTAAACAATATAAACGAATTAGGGGGTCGTGGAATTTTTCCATTCTTTTTACGTGGAGTACGTAAAGGAAGGTTGGTGTCCTTTAACGATTTATAAAAATCGGGACCATATTGATTTAGGAATCCGTTTACGAAGTGAGTTTCTCTTGCGAACATAGTTGTATATCGTAATTTTTTTTTTTTTTTTTATAAATAGTACTATATTATTTTGGGATTGAGAATTAAGAAACATCTTTTACATTTATAGTTAATTATGGTGTAGCTCAATGGGAATTTTTTTTTTTTTTTTTTTGTAATTTATATGAGATCTAGATTTAAATTGTAAGAACACCAGGGAGAAAATTGAGCGTTTTTATACTTGAATAGACGTTATTATACCGAATATTAATAAAATATGTATATTTATATTTTTTTACAGTTGAATACAATCAAATTCATAGACTAGTGGCTTTTCTTCGTGTAGCGTAATAGTCATTTTAGAGGATATTTTTAGGAGCAGAAAAAAAAGTCACTTTGTTCGTACAGTTTAATATATATTTAAGTGTTTTTAATTTTTATGGTAAAGAAAGAAATATGCACTCAAATGGCGCGTCAAAGAATATTTACTTACCTTCATACTTTGTAAGCTTTTTTTCTGTCTGCATATATTACCAATATTTCCAATTAAAGTTAGGCACTGCTTAATTTTTCTATAAAATCAAAAGAAAAAAAATAAAAATAAAAATAATATAATATATATATTTGTGTCACAGATTTCAAAAATAATTGTTTGTTTTAATCCTCGATTGATGAACGAATTCAGAACCCTGATATCTATTTTACATTCCAATTAACCTTATTTAAATGATTATAGAATATCTTTTTTTGCCAAAAGCACAGGAGAATATTGTTATACGTTATTAAAATCAATGTAAACCTTCCAATCGATGTTGTCATGTGGATAACATCATCATTTCTAACTAATCTATTAAGTGTAAAGTTAACAAAATCTTTTGATACTAAAAACAATGTAAAATATTTTGAATAATATTATTGGACCACTTTCTGAACAAAAATAAATAAAATTTAAAAATAAAAAAAGGGGGAGAATCAAAAATTGCATTCATCTTTATTGTAATAAATAATGAAAAGTCCATTAAATTTTTCATTGTGAATAATCTTTTTCTGTTAAAATGGGGATACATTGCAGTTAACCAAGTTTCGGATAAAATATTTGCATTCGCATTAATAATCTCCTTACACGATAGCGATTTTATTTTGTCTTGTTGTGGTTACACAATGCTCATTGACTCACGTGTATCAGTGTATGAATATATTTGGAAACCAAGACCAATAGGCAAAAGGTTAATTACAGTAGCAGTGTGCATGTGCGATGATCAGCTGATTTTTAAATTTACGTTATTTTCCTCAGTTAAAGATAATGAAAAAGAAATTTAATATTATATTCTGGCTTAGATGTAGTATCAAATGACACACACTTTTAATTCAATCTATTCTAATTTAACATCAAAGCATAAGATTATAACAAAAAAAATATATCATTGGAATGCAGAAATTTCCTAATTTTTCCGATTCTTTAATTTCGATCATACCAAATAAAAACTTGTGTGAAAATCATTCCAGAATTGGGGTTATTGTTATTGGACTTTTAAAAAAAAAATAATTTTTAATTTTTGAATTTCGGAGTTTAAAATTGATCATCGCACCAATCAAAAAATAAAAAACTTTTTTAAATAAATTAAAAATTAAAATATGTTTACAAGAAAAGAAGTTTAAATGATAGAAATTGTAATTATTTGTCAATTTTTTTTTGTTTAAAAAAAAAAAGTCGGAAAGTAAAAAAAAAAAATAAAAGGGAAACTCAATACATAATAATTGTAACACAATGTTGTGTCACCATAAAAAATAATTGATAAACTTTAATTTGACTCTAATTACATTAAGATTGACTATTTTGACAATTGATTTGATTAATTTAAATTTATCATAAATGTGTGGCCTGGAATTAAAGCTCCGAACAAAAGATCATGTTTACAATGCAAAACGCGAATTTTTGTGACGAAGAATATAATAATAAACAATCTTTTGGATAAGACCAAAAAATAATTTTAACCTTTTTTTTTTTTAAGAAAAAATTCTTTAAAACAAAAAGGGGAAAAATAAACAAATAATTTTTTTTTAATATTATAACAAAATATTTCTATTGTTTTACCTATTGTACTTCTAGGATAAATATTGTTTAATAGGTTAACAATTACCTAATAATCATAATAATCATCATGAAAGATTCGAATGTGTCATTTTTGTATTTCTGTTACCTTTGTGTAATGTTTAACATTTAAAAATTGCACCAATCCAATTTGGGTTTAGATATTGCGGATAGATATAACGCGTCAAAGGATATGAGGTAAATAAAGAATATTATAAATACTTTTAAGTTTTAGGCCAGGGACCCCATTTCCCCAAGATGATAAGCACGGTTAATTTTGAAATTTCCCGAATTGTAAATATCTATATAAATATACATAAATAAATACATATAATAAATTACGAAGATTCTAGACAAAATTATATATTAATTTTTTAAAAAAAATATTTAATATTCAATTATTATTATAAGTACAAAAATATTATAAACCTGTTTATTTCAACCTTTGTTTTTCGTTTTTAGTATATTGGCAAAATGAAATATCTTAATTTATTAATTTTTCCCTCGAATTCATATTATGTTCGGGATGTTCGGCATGTTCGGCGTAAAAAAGTTACCGTAAATATTAAAAGTTACAAAGCTTATTCATTAAAATCAAGGTCGAGATTTAACCTTTTTCTACTTTATTATACATGAATGATACAATGATTTAGAACGTTATCATAAGTCGCGATATATATATGATTTTATGCATAAAATATATGTTTAAATTTTATTACATTATATACGTATAAAATATTTAACCGTATTATAATTAGATCATACCGTATTATAAATAAATGCGGGATTTTCCAAATAAAGTCATGGATGAAAGAAAACCAATTAAATTCATTATATATATATTCTTTTTATCATTTTATCATATTGCCTTATCATGATTAAAATATCGTTTTTAAATTTCAAAATAGATGAAACAATAAAAAACGCCATTTTATGAAATTTTATGAATTTTGGATTAAGGCAAGTTATTGTTACAATACATTAAAGAGACACGAAGAAAAAAAAATTTTGAGTTATTCACGTATCAAAATCAAGATTTGTATAGTATTTTTAAAGTTAAATGAATAACGGAGAAGAGAACACCGACAATTTTACGCCAAAATTTTTATTTTTAAGTATTTCTTCCTTTTTGATCTTCGTTATCTTTTTAAAATTGATCATAAAATTGATCATATGCTATCTAAATGCTCTATATCAAGTAATTTATATCAAAGTTTAGAAGTATTCTTAATAACATTATAATGAATAGAAAACGCCGCCGAAATTTTCATGGAAAGAAAATTCTTCGATCTTCCTTAAAAAAGAATCATTTTCTAAAGATTATAATCTATTAGTACTGTAAAAAAAAAAAAAAAATTGCCGCAGTTAAGGTTTATTTACTCAGATTATGTAAAATGTTAGCATTCAATCAGATGCTAGATTGGGTGTACTGTATTACCGCATACCATATCACTCTTGTATCACCCTTTCTTTATTATCACCTTACCTAATAGAAGCAAAAGAATGTTCCAACAGCACGTTGGTTGTGCAAATTACTGAATTTGGAATCTGCAAAAGCAAGAAGGATTGCACTAGAATTTTCCAATAATTAATTAACTACTATATTTGTATAGAAAAAATTCATATGATTAGAAAAGAAAAGTATCAAGGATTTTTTTTTACATATTCGATTTACAATGATATTAAAAAAGTATATCAAATAATTAATTAATATTTTTGAAAGAGAAAAAGACATGATTAACTGAAACTTTCTTGGCGCATAATTTTTTTTTTTTTTTTTGACAAATTATGTTAATTAACCAGATTGCATGTATTGTAATTAATTAGGCGTAAATATTATTTTCTTTTTTTCTGGAATTTTTCATTTTTCTGTTACCAGGAATAATATTTGTTTTTTTAAATGAGAAAAAAAAATCATGAAAATTGCAGTGTTTCCATTTGAAAAAAAAAGATAAACAAACAAATAGAACATTTCCTTTCGTTCGGGAAGGTCTTTTAAAAAAAAAATTTTTTTTTTCAATCCCTGCTTTTTTTTCTATTCGTAAAGAAATTTAATATACATGCGTATATATGTGTGTAATATATTTTTTTTAAAAAAAATATATATTAAAAAATATGTATTTTATTCTAAAAAAATATGTACTTTATTTCAAAAAAATATGTACTTTAATTTAAAAAATATATACTTTATTTTAAAAAATATGTACTTTATTCTAAAAAATATGTGTTTTATTCTAAAAAATATGTGTTTTATTCTAAAAAAATATATAATTTAATTATAAGTCAATTTAAAAAATATATATATAATTTAATTATAAGTCAATTTGAAAAATATATATATGTGTTTTTTTAAAAAAAATACATGCAAATTTTTCTATAATATTATTCCTAAATTGTATTTACATAGAAAATTTCGATATACGTTAAAAAAGAATAACACTTTGGTAAATCATTTTTGAAAGCGTGTGAAAATTTCATGAAATTAATAAACAATCTCAATACCCGGGTTTCAACATTTCAAACATTATCGTCCTAAAACAGAAAATTTCGAGAATTCAGCTTTAAAATATTTGAATAAATTAAACTAGAAAAGGTTATTGATACTCTTCTTCGAAGAATGTTTGGAATATTTTTAAAATTATTCTGAAAATTTCTGAATATTCTGTATTTCTGTTCAACAAAACATTTAATAGGTTTCAAAGATAAAATAGTAATTTAACAATGAGTTACACCGGGATTGAATAATATAAACTGCCTCTTACTCAGGCACCGGAGTTGTAAATTCCTGTTATATATTATTGATCAGCAATTATACATAATAGAATTTTTTGATTCAAAAATTTCCTAAAATAATTGTTTAAAATCTTCATTACACAGCAATCAATCATCACATTAATCACATTCTTGTAAAAAAAGGTATAAATATCGCCATGGATTTCTCAAAAAAAAAATAAAAAAAAGAAAATAACAAACAAGAAATAAATATAATAATAATAAATCTCAGTTTTTTTTTTAAACACAAAAATAAAATCAATAAAATTACAGAATATTCAAACAATGACAAATTTTCATACTCCAGCTTTTTCTATTCATAGTGAAAATAATTCACTTATTATTCCAACATCTGATACTTCTCTTCTAATTCTTCCTCATTCTCCTTCAATTGATACAATTGATACTAGCTTTCTTTTCGCTCCTCACTCACCTTCAACTAGTAGTGACGCTGCATCCACTAGTTGTTCTTCCGGTTGTAATTCACCAACTGTTAGCGACAACGAAGATTTATTTGTACCGATGGAACAACTTAATAATGTAAAAAGACTTTTAAGAATGTTTCCACCTCCAATGTCTGCCGTAGAATTTATCAACAAAAATCCGTTCCATGCTTCGGATGGGCATATTAAAAGACCATCAAATAATTTCATTCTTTTCCGTAAGATTGCACATGACCAGAAGAATCAAACTCCTGCTTTATCTGATTATAACGAAAGACAATTCTCCCAGATAATTGGAAAAATATGGAAAGGTCTCTCTCAAGGTGAAAGAGAAGAATATAAGCAACTAGGTAAGGAAGTGGCTGAAATGCATAAAAAAATGTTCCCCAAATATAAATATCAACCTAAGAGAGATAAAGCCGCATGGAAGCATTTTAATCCGGAAAATAATAATTCTAATCTAAAGTCAAAAAGAAAGATTAAGGTCAAATTACAGAAAAATCAAGAAACAACATGTGACATTCCTAAGATTAATCTTAACATTCCTCAACAACAACAGCAGCAAATTGTTCCGGATAATACTCTAGATTACACAATCCCTGTTGGATTAGATCAAATAGGTCAAATGGGTCAAATGGGTCAAATGGGTCAAATGGGTCCAATAGATCAATTATATTATCATCCCATGGATTATTTTAACGAAGAATATTGGATGCAACAAATATAATACAAATAACACGTATATTGTAACGAAGTCTATATTAGTTCTACAAGGATATAATTATTTAATTGGCATTCGATTTTTTTTTATTTTTTATTTTTTTTTGGCATCATCTGTTTAAAATTGGCAATAATTTCATTCAAACTTGAACAATTTTTATAATTTCGCAGTAGACAACAACCTCATTTCAGATTTTAAGTCGCATATAGACAATTTTAGTCAATCATTAAATTATAGAATTAGATAACCAAATTCATGAACAATTTCAACTACGGATTTTATATCATTCACAATTTACATATATATTATATATATACTTCTATATATTTCTTTATCTGTATATTTTTATCTTTTTTGTAGATTTTTTTCTTTCTTCACCTGTCATTGTTAAATAGTTTCTTTATTATATATGTATATATGCATATATATATATATGATACTGTATATTCTCTCTCTTTTTCCTTTTTTTTTTTTAAGATTATTATATTGGATATGAACGAACATTTTGATTCAAATTTTATTTTTAACCCAAATAAATTATACAATTTCTACTTTATAAGTTTTGATTTAAGAAATATTTTATTTTTTTTATATACAATATATACATATATACAATACATACACATACAAAGTAAATATATGTAATCAAATTATCGATTTCACTTGGTATAATAAACCCCAATTAAGTGTTATAGCTATTAAGGCCAATAAAATTACCCTTATAAAAACGATAATGATCTAACCGTATTGGGTTTCACCAATTTTTACTGCGCGTTACATAACTGCGCAAAATAAATAAAAAAAAATTCATTCTGTAAATCACGGCTGAAAATGCCACAAAAGAAAATTCGGTCAGAAAGAATCGAAAGAAATGATCGACATTTTCGAAATTCTATGGACTTACTTTCTAAAACCTAAAAAAGAATATTTTATACGGTACTTTAATTCCGTTATTTATTTATTTATTTTTATTTTAAGGACCCCCTTGTCACAGCCAATTCCGCAGCTTCCGATTATTCATGGTTATCTAAAACTGTGCCATATATTTGAGTGTTTCATTTTTTTCATTTCATTTTATTTATTTTATTTTATTTTTTAAAACGTTAAAGCATTTTTAATTGTAAAAATTATTATTGTTAAGATTTTTATTCGACTTATCGACCAATAATTGAAAAAAGAATATATTATAATTATCCCCTAAAAAGGTTTTGTAATTATGAATGAATGTTATAGCTTAAATTAGGAAATTGAATCCATTAAGAAAGGAGTGATGATGTATTACGAATTTAAACTGCGTGTACATAAATATTTGTTGGTTCGGCCCTACCTAATGGGTAACACCACTTATTTTGGTGAAGTTATTGGGGGTCGAATTCCAATGGATTTACTCCCATGGTTTCACCCAATAATCTAATCCCAAAGTTGTTCAACTAAAATAGGGATATAGAAAGATGAATGAAATCTATTTTTATGTACCTTTCAATTGGGAAATTGTGTGTAAATCTGGGATTTTTGATAACCTCTTTGTAATACGGAAGTTAAATTCATGAAAGGGTGAAAAATTCTGAAGGAAAATCGGTATAACCTAGCCGCAGCCCGCAGGTGGATACATAGATTTTAACCAATAATTTTTTTTTGAGGTAAAATATTTAATTTTATTTTATTATTTACCGCTTTATTCTCTTGAATTTTGACAGACGAAAAGAATGATATACCCAAAAGTTGGGAGTTGAGAGCATGAAAAATAAAGAGAACTCCAGCAATTGTCGACGCACAAGTTAGCTTTACTGAAATTGATATTAGATACAGGAAATTTAAAATTTAAATTCAGTCAATATTTGATGTTAAAACATAATTTTTGAAAATTATCCAATATACTGTACTACGTTATGAAAAAAATGGACCCCCTTTCGGCCTTTCCATTATCATTCATGTCTTGACGCTTTATTTTACATCTAATGAGGGAGGGTATCAAAGAGATGGCTTTTCATACTTGAAGTTTAACTAATTACCACGTAATGAAATGAAACGTGATCCTGTAATAGGATGGATCAGTATATACATGCTGCCCAAATTATTTTGGGATGCTGTAATTCATTCAGTTTATATGACTATGTAAAGTGCCAAAATAATAATTACGGTAGCCCAAAATAATTTGGGCAGAATGTATAGTTCTGTAGTAGTTTAATGGTAGCGTTAGAGAATTGCCAACTTGTTCATTTTTGATTGACATATAAAAATTGTATAAGTTAATCAAATAAAGTAAAGTATATTTCACATTATTACCAAAAAAACGAAGGTTGTATTGATATTGCCGGAATGCTTTAGTAACGAGATTACATAAAACCGGAATTTGCATCTTCTGCTCGTATAATAATAATCTCGTGATTAGTATTAGATGATGTTGAAAGAATAATAAAACCTTTTACTCTTTCAAAAAACTACAATTTTTGCCATCATATGAATAATTTGTATGATTTTACTATAATAAGATCCTTTTAAAAAAATTATCCGACCAAAAATAGTCAATTTTAGATTCCGCACTGGTTCTTACTTATTTTGAAATTACAGCCCTGTGTCACGTGATATTACATCACACTATTTTCCCTGCACGATTACACGCTATTTGTCCATCGGTTGTACAATAATTATAAATTTATGAGAATCGAAAATTCATTAAAAAAATTAAAGTTTTTTATCAATATGCCTTATGGTCAATTAGAAGTAACTGTTGGTAAATTTTCACTTATTTAACTTATTCATTATTCATTTGTTAAGCTATTTATTGATAATTTTTCACTGCTTATTTTGGGTCGAAATTAAAGTTGAAAGTAAAAAACTTAAAGAAAGTGATTTTTTTGGTACGTATCGTTTTTTATTTAACTTTTCATAGAATAATAAATAATAAATATTTGTAATAAATTTATTTAAATAATAGTATTAATATATTAATAGATAAAACGAACCCTTATGTTTGTTTATCTTTGGACAAACATAATAAGCAAAAAACTTGTGCTATTCAGAATGCTGGAAGTGGAGCAACTTGGAACGAAAAATTCAACTTGTATGTAAATTTGATTTATTATGTTCATTTTGTTATTTCACGTTTAAATCTTGTGATTTGATATTGATTTATTAAAATATTTCAAAGATTTTTAATTTATTCCCTTAGATTATAATCGTATATTAACGATTAAATTGATATTATTTTTAGCGATGTTTTAGAAGGTCGATATGAACTTTATATTGAAGTACTTGATGATGTTAGTAGTAATGATGATTTAATAGGTAAAATTGTTTACCAATTAGTATATATATATATGTATCTTTTTTTTTTGGAGAAAATATTTAACTTAATCACTTATTCACATAGGAGGAGCTGCTGTACCATTATATGAAGTTTTTCAACAAGGTCATGTTGATAATTGGTTTAATATTACACGTCCTAGTGGAAAGCCCGCTGGAGAAATTCATTTATCAATGAATTTTAAGAATCAAGTAAGAGAAATTTTTAAATCAATAATTCGAGAATATTTCATATATACACTCTAAAATGATCGTGATTTTAAGGGACCGACATCAGGACCTCCAGGTCATACACCATATCCAGTTCCAAATGGTCCGGGTTATTTTTCACCCCCAAATTCGGGTAGTAACATTTTTAAAAGTTATTCAGAAAATCAAGTACAACAAGTACAACAGGAAGCTTTTAGTAGTTTTGGTCCAGAAGGTGGCGCTATCCCTTCAAATTATGGAAGTGGCGCTCCTCCAAATGTGATAACACCACAATTAACTGGCCCTCCAGCTTATCCTACCGCTGGAGGTGGGTTTCCTGATCCATCATCATATGTTGTAAATATGCCAGTTCCATCGCAGCCACCCGATTATAAACCTCCTACAAGTGATAATTAACGATTAGATGGTAATTATATTTAATATTCGATCCTTTTTATTATCCTAAGAGCAATGTTTGAAGTAAATTATAATAGTAAAATAAAAAGGAAACACAAAGAAGAAAAACTTGAAGAAAAATACGAAGATAAAGATTATCAAAAATAACAAAAAAAAAAATTATAAATATATTTCATAATTATTAATTTATATTTAGTTACTTAATAACATTATAGATAAATTTAATTATATTTTTATTTAGTATTTTTGTATGTGAATATGAATTAATATTATTTTTTATGGTTAATAAATTAATTATATATAATTTTTAAATTTTACAATGATGGTCGTCGATTGATGTTATCAATGAATAATTCCAGTGTGAAAAAAAAAATGATAACCCATCATGATGTATCAAAAATCGAGTGATCGTTAATAGGAACATTAAAATAAATAGTTATGGTACGATACAACGAAACATGTTCACTCATTTTTACTGACACCTGTTTTACCGATATATAATTTATTAACATCACTTTTGCCGACTTGCCACTTCATCGACATCACATTTTCTCGATATCATTTCAACGAATCGCCATTTTTGCCGATAGCCATTTTGTCGATAAGTAAGTATCATGAAATTTTGCCTTTCATTAAAGTTTTTTGAAAATATCTTTTAATTATTTCATTTTATTATATATAATTATTTACATTTTGTCACTTTCTAATCAGTAAAAATTTTCACCGAATAAGTAATAATTATTTATCATGTAGCAGTAAGCGAGGCGCAGCTAAGTAATGAATTTATTTATTTTAACAATGGTGGCAAGTCGAGTAATTTTTCATGTTGGTAAAATGGCAATTTCAGTGAAATGAAGTTAGGTAATTTTTCATGTCGGTAAAAATGGAGTATAGGTACGAATGTATGATAATTCGATAAATATCTTTACGTATAATATAGTGTAACAGTTATGGTATGTTTGTTTGTTTTGAAATTTTTAACCGTATGTGTATACTACTATCGAATATACTGTATAAAGAAGTCAAAAGGTGTTCAAATTAAAGTTGGTAACGATTATTATATATCGAATTACAACCTTTAGCGGTTGTAATATTATGAACGTAAGATGTAAATTGGCTGTAAATACTACATACACTATTATAGTATTATGGATTTACTTGACTTTTGGATTTACAACTATTTACGGAGACCATTAGTTCAAATTGGGTCCAGCCAATAATAAAATCGTCAATTTTATTTTATTTACTGTGTAAATTTATTTGATACTTTGCATTTATATACATGCAAAAATTGTTATCTATCCCATACCTCCTAATGAAGTTGAACGTAGAAGAGCGTTAATTTATAAAAAAATTTCCTGAAACTTGATAATTATAGAACTCTTTTATCATTCCTTTTATCGAATTCAACTAAATTAAATCAGATAACCAATCGTAACATAACAACATTAATTAGATCATACCTGATCGTACTATTATAATAACGATTTATTAAAGGTGTTATGAGTCTTTATTGCGGTATTGTGCTTTATTGTTATTTAGGTATGAAATTTTAATCTGTATGCTTCTCCAATTGCCGTACCTGCTTCTCTGGATGTATTTATATAAATACAACTAATCTTACAGGTACGGTACAAAGTCACCTAATAAATATCATACCTATAATATTTTCCATTGTTTCGTAATTAATATTCATTTTGTCTATAATGCAACTGTAAAATACTAAAATTTATTATCAACGTCCTTTAAATTACACTTTTACATCTTAAAAAAATTTTATATTTAATTGTTCAAAATAAATTAAAAAATTTAGTCAAGTTGAGTGGTTGTTAATACTAAATATTATGTGCAGTAAGTACATCATCTCCATACTTCTTCACAGTAACTACGCCATATGTTTTATATTATTTTTAGCGCATCATGATTATGCAAGATAAGTTATTAATAAAAAGATTTTCCTGATTTACATAGCCAAAGGAGTTTTATAAATCATAATATTAGAATGGAATGAAAAAGAACAATATATGATTATTTTTGCAGATCTGCCTTTTTCTTCACAGGCATACTGAGATAAAGTGATATATAAAATAAAAAGCTTTTTTTAAAAATAACCTAGAGTAGTATATTTTATTAATATAGCCCTATTTTAAAAACATGTATATGAAGTTCAATCTACAGATGTACAGTAGGCGATCAAAAGTATACGGACATTTTTAAAATAAAAATTTCATAATAAAATAATATAATAAAAATAAAAATTATTAAGTAAATATATTAATCTGATTGTCCTTTATTAATTATATGTAAAAAAAAATTATATATTAATAATTAATATTATATCCATTTGCAGCAATAACCGCTTCAATTCTGCGTGGCATGCTGTCAATTAATTTTTTAAAATATTCTGGAGGAATATCGTCCCATGCATCTTTAACATACTTCTCAAGCATTTGGATATTAGATGGTGGTGGATCACGACGACACACCATTGCTTTCATTTCTGCCCACATATTCTCAATAGGGTTTAAGTCGGGGCTTTGTGCTGGCCATTGAAGCACTACAATTTTCGCATCTTTACGGGCGGCCATAGCGACTTTGAACGATGTGGCAGAGCATTATCCTCTTGGAAAATTCCATTACCACATGGAAAATGCTCATCCAAAGTAGGTATGACATAATCTTGAATAATTTTAGCATGGGTTTTACCTGTAACTGAACCTTTTAACGGAACAATTGGTCCAAGTTCACGCCAGGAAAAACAACCCCAAAACATTCTGCTAGGGCTGTGTTTTACGGTAACTGCAACACAATCAGGATTCAATCTTTCTCCTGGTTCACGCCAAACCTTTCCCTGACGACCTTGTTGAAACTGAGTAAAAGTGCTTTCATCGGAAAAAAGCACACTTCTCCATTTTCTCGTTGTCCAATTTCTGTGAGCAAGAGCCCATTCAAGGCGAGCCTAATGATGTGTTTCTGTCATTGCAGGTTTGCGACAGGGAATACAGGCACGAAGTCCAACCTTTCTAAGGTTACGGCGTATGGTACTTGCGGAAACAGGTTGCTTTTTACGAGCTGTCCAAACAGTTGCAATCTTTTTTGAACAGAGTCAACGATTTTCACCATTTTCTTGAACAAAAGCTTTGAGTTCTTGTCGCGTTGGTGAGTTAAAGAGTGGTGGCCGACCTGATTTTTTTTTTGGTGTGAAAGAGCCAGTTTCACGAAAACGTTTAAGTACATCATAAACAGCAGTTTTACCACACCCCAATTTTTCTGCAATCATACGACCCGATTGACCACAATTATAACCATAAATAATCGCATATCAGGTTTTGGGAATGAGTGGCCTCATATTTGGTGAATGTTTATTACTAAAAAAAAAACACTGTGGCATTTTTCATTATGATATTAAGCGTTAAATGATGTATTGTTTATATTATGTCATTGTGTAATGATCGGCATAATTTTGGCAAATCAAAATGTCCGTATACTTTTGATCGCCTACTGTAATACTATTACTATTAAAAGATATCTTTGCAAATTATGAAAATTATGAAAAGAAAATAGGGGTACAAGAAATGTAAAATTTACACCAATACTCCTGATAATTTTTATTTCCGGAATTATTAATTTTTCACAAAAATAATTATAAGGATCTATATGATATTTTTTATAAGTATTCTGCCTATTATTTCCTTTCACTTCAATTCATATTAAAAAAAAGTATTTATTATACATCAACATTAAATTAAACTGCACCACAAAGAAAATAGAATTCCTGCTTTTTTATATATTCAAAAGTAAAAATAAAAAATATTAAATTTCTCTTTACTTATGAGACCACCTTTTTGGTTAATACACTATACTTATATAAGTAGTTTACTGAAGTAAATAGCATCTTATATACGAGTTTTTTCTTTAGTTTTATTTTAAACAAATAATATAACTTATAAATAATCTGCAAATATTTATTATTAACTTTATACATATTTTTTTTACATAACTCTATACAAATCAAACTTTTAGTTTTAAAAAATTTAGTTACTAATTGTTATTTATTGTATTTATTATATTAAAAGTTTTTTATTATTTATTATTATATTAAAATTTTTTTTTTAATTACATTAATATTTTATTTATTACTAAACATTGAAGTGTAATTTCTCATTAACTATCTAACCAAAATATGCAGTTTTTATACTATTGGATAAAGCAAATCAAGAACTTTCTAATAAATCTAAAATTGCATAAATTCAATTACTACATTCTAATAAACTTTTTTAAATTAATTCTACAATAAAATATTATTAATTGTTAAATTTAAGATGTAATTTCTTATTAACTATTCAACTAAAATGTGTAATTTTTAAACTATTGAATAAAGCAAATCAAAGGCTTTTTAATAAATTTAAAATTGCATAATAAATTCAACTATTATATTCTAATAAACTTGCCTAAATTTATTTATAATTAAATTATAAAAATAAATTAAATTATGAAATATAATTAATGTTTTATAAATTAAATAAGAATAAATTGATTATAAACAAAAAGTAAATTTTATTTTTTATTAAATTATAAAAACATAAATTATAAAAATATTAAAAAAAAAAATTTGCCATAACATGAAAAATTTTTATATCATAAAATATTTGTATTTCTATTAAAAAATATTACTTTTAAATTAGTAATATATGATTTTAATTATAGGATTCTAATTATATATTATAAATAAATATAACATGAAAATTTACTCTTTAATTGTAATAAATAATACATAATAGTTTAGATGTAATAGTATAACAAGTTTATAAAAAGAATTAGATGTAATAGTATAACAAGTTTATAAAAACTTTAGATGTGACGGTATAACAAAATTATAATAAAACTTAAATGTAATAATGTAATAACTTTAAATATCAAAATATAAATAAACTTAGATATATTTTAAATATGATAGTATAACAAATTCAAATTTTAACAAATTATAAAGACAAAAATCTATATAAAAAACTTTAGAATAAAAGAGTAGTGGGGTAAAAGAGAAGAAAATTATAAGTCCATAAATTTTTTTAAAAAATTTTGTAATTTCTCAGTATTATTTTTATATTAAATAACTAATTTTACTTTATTTTAGCATAGAAAATTTTTTAATAATTTTTTAATTAATTAATAAAATTTATTAAAACTTATTTCAATCAATATTAAACTTAGATGATTTTACTACCATTAAAATTATTTTAATAAGATGGTATAAATTTATCAAAATCTGATCACTGGATTTTTAATAATTTGCAAATTATATTTTGTATTTTTTTTATATTAAAATTTATTTATAGTAATAAAAATAATAAAATATTATATTAATAAGAATTTAATAAATGTTTAAAAAAATTTTAAACTATTGTAAAATACTTTATTTAATATTAAATATTTTTTAAAGAAAATTTAAGTCTTTAAAATTTAAGGTAAAATTCAATATAATTTTAAAAGATTACATTATATATAAAGTAAAATTATGAGACAGAAAAAGTTGGTAAAATTACTAGTAAATTTGAAATTTTGTGAGAAGAGTTCTATTAGAAGTAAGTGGAATCCTACCTATTTTCAATAATAATAAAAAAATAAATTTATTAATAAAGTTACTAAAAATTGACATAAATTTTTATATAAAATTATTAATAAATTGAAATTGAGTTGTAGTCTAATAACTGCTAAACAGATACATAGGGTTGTATAATTACAGTATTTTAAAAAATTTTGATATAAGTTACATTTTAAGTTTTGTAAGTTACATATAAATTACATTGGGAGATTTCAGAAATAATATCAGAATAATTAGGAAATAATAGTTTTCAGTAAGTAAAATTATAACATAGTAATTCCAATTTTAAAAAATATGATTGTAAAAATGTAATTTCTTGAGAAAATAAATAAAGTTAATAAATTGTTTTATTTTATGTAGGACCCCGGATATCTAATATAAAGGTCATAATGGACTTTTGGCCAAAAACACCCCTTTTTGCTAAAACTCAAAAAATCGTTTTTTGTAAATATCTCAGTATCCAGTAATTCAATTTTAATGAACTTTTTTATATTTTGTAGCCCTCATTTAGCTCTACAATTTAAAAAAAAGTTCATCAAAATTGGACCACTGGATGCCGAGATATTTACAAAAAACGATTTTTTGAGCCCCTGAAAAATGGACCAATCTGCCGAAAGTGTGACTTATGACCTGTTTTGGAGATATCCGGGGTCCTTTTTATGTGTTAATTTGAGAAAGTTTGATCACATAATATGACCAATAGGAATTAATTATATATTATTGTCCAGAGCGAAGTGAAGGATTATATATGTTTATAAACTTTAACGACATATTAGATTACGTGGCGAAGTCCGTTTGTCCGCATGTGTTATTTTTGATTGATCTGCACAAAGCGTGTCATTGAAATTTCATGCTACATCAAAAATAAACAATCTTTTTTTTTATTTTTTTTTTAGGTTTCGGCGGAATAGTAAGTATATTTTTTTTCTTATTTGATTTCAAAGAAATATTTCTGACGGTTTATTTCTTATTTTTTTTTCTAAGGTTTCTGGATTTCTTGTATATATCGGACTTTAAAAGTAGATTAGAAAGAGGTGGTTTTTTTTATTTGTTTGACTTTAAAAAAATGTTTCTAACGTTTCATTTTTTATTTTTTTTTCTGGGAACGCTGGGTTTTTTGTACACGCCAGTCTTTAAAATAAAATAGAGAAGAAGGCTTTTCTTATTTATTTGACTTTAAAGAAATGTTTCTAATATTTCATTTCTTATTTTTTTTCTAGGGTTTCCAGATTTCTTGAATATACCAGACTTTAAAGGTAAATTGGGAAAAGAAGGATAGTGTTTAAATAAATAAAAATTTTAAAATTTTTTATACAAAATTTTTTGCTCCAACTTTACAATGGTTTCCATTTCCTAGTAATATAAGTTATTTTTTTTCTAATAAATCAAGTATTGAGATTGGAAAGTAGTTATGACAAATAAAAGTTTAAAGATATATAGGGAAAAGGTTTAATTTTAAATATTTGGCATCTATTTTTAAAAGTAAGAATGTTATACAGAAGAGTTAAAAGGGCCATTAATTTTTATGATAAAAATAAAAAAGGAAATGAAAAAATTAATTTAAATACTTATGTTAGAATCTTAAATAAACATTTCATCCATTTCATCATATAGTTTGTGAATTAATAGGAAGTGTTGCATCTTTTCAATAAGATAATGTACCTATTTATACTGCAAAAATAACTAAAGATTGGTTAAAGAAGAATAAAATTATGATTATTGATTGACCAGCCAATTCCTTTGATTTAAATCTGATAGAGAACATTTGGAAGCAGTTAAAAGACAATATTCAGAGTCAGGAGATCTTTCTTAAAACAATAGGTAAATTTAAAGCTGCACTAAGTGAAGAATGGGAGAATTTGGACTACTCCATTTTTGATGTTATTGCCTTAATGCCACAACAAATCAATAATTTAGAATAACCAAAAAGGGCAAATTCATTTAATCACACCTGCAATATATTAACTATATTCTATTTGTATCTGATTACTTAAAGATCCATCATATAAAAGAAATGGTATACCCATATAAGAAATTCCGGCAGAAGGCACTCATTGTTAGAATCAATTCTTACACTTACTACAGTATATAAGAAAATTGAGAGTTTTGTAAGCAGAAAGTTTGATGGTACAAACGAACAATAAGAATAAAGTGTGATCTCTAACACTTGCACTCAAAATAAAAATGTTTATAATTAGTTAGCTTAGTTTATAATATATCATTACTACTGAATTTTCGTTAATAACCCTTTATTTATAGATATAAAAAATAATACATGTATATATAAATATGTAAAAATAAAATAGTTAACTATATATAATATAAAATTTTCATATCAATACTGTTAATCAGTTATCCTCATTTTACATAATTGTTATTTAGGTCGGTTATCTCATATTACTATGTATTAGCATAATAATAAAATTATTGGATAGCAACGGGGGTTTATTAAAAAAATTGCATGAACGGTCCCGTCAAACCGATAATATTATTATTGGATGATTTAAACTATATAATAGTCTAATGCGGCACTACGTGCCGCTATTAGACTATTATATAGTTTAATCATCCAATAATATATAATTATATTCTTCTTTTTTTATGCAATGGAGTATCTGGTTTAGACTCGGGTGATTTTTCATCCAAAAGAGCATCTAAGCAGTTGACTAGATCCGTTGTATCATAACGTGCTTCCTTTGGCATTCCGACAAGTTTAAAATTACCATCCATAATTACAAAGAATCGGAATGGCCAAGGTGAATATAACTTTAAGAAAGTGTTATCCATTGTATCTGCTAATACAGAAATCTTAAGATGAGTAGCTTCAACCATATTACGTGCAGCTGTCAACCGTTCTTCTAATGTACGATGCTCTTTAACATTTACAATATTACCAATAGGCCAAACATCACTGGCGTGTGCTTCACGAATTTGAATCATATAAAAGTCTACATCTTTTCGATATTTTTTATAAATGTCGTTGAGCACATGAGATATGTATCGATATAAAGGACAGGTATGTGATCCAGCAAGAAGAACAAGGGGTCGTCCCGGTTGGTAAAGTGAGCGCAATTGAGTTATAGTTTTATCATTATTTAAGGGAACTAATGAACAGTCAGGTGCTGGCATTCCTTCTTTGAGATTTCCAATAGAAGCAATATTGTTACGAACATATACTTGAGTTGTTTGAAATGCAGGATCATCTGAAAATAAAGTAAGCAATAAGAAAATGTTAATGTAATAGCAAAAAAAAAAAAGAACAATCCCTTTTTTACCTTTGTAAAGTTGTGGAGCACGTCGTAATAATTCTACAGCCTCATCCGAGTAACCAAATTCTCGAACCAACTCATGTTGCATTTGATCAGTAACATCCATCCAGTCCTTTCCGGATGTGGGATCACTTCCAACCTCGTAATATTTTTGTTGTAATTCTGGTGAAACCCTTCGCTTTTCTTCTTCTTGTAGCAAATTTAACATCTCTTCTTTTTTTGTTGGAAGTATTGGTACGATGGTAACTGGGTTAACGGGAACAACTTTTGGAAAGTCATTTTGATTTTCTGGATCCAATAATTCCGAAAAATTATGCTGCACGTCATGAAGCAGTTTGGACATTTTGATACAATCATCACACAAGTCATAATCAAAACATTCTGAACACTTATATCTGTGAAAGCAAAACGATACAAAAGGGATGAAATAGATATTTCTAATGTCCATAAAAAAGTTGATTAAACTAATTATTTACCTTGCTCCTTTCCATTCACTTTTGCCACAATAATTACAAGCAATACCGGCGTGAACTTTGTCATGTACTAGATGTCTCTCAGGAACATGCATATATTGCATGAGTGATGGCAACGCATTGAAATCTACACGCCCACTAGTTTCATCAAACATTCCTCCGCGCAATCTAAGTACGAGATGTAATGTTGGTTCATTCCATGATTCTCGAGGGAAAATGGAGCTATTGTCGCATATTGACAAAGTAAGAATTTTGCCGGATAATGTTTTTACACGAACTATAATAGCTAGAAGTAGCTCCAATGTTGCCCCTTCTCGAATACCATAATATTTTAAGGTATTAGAATCACTCAATTGCTTTCTATATAAAAGTGAATAAAGACATTGTTTATTAATAGGAATGCCTTCACATTTCTGAATCATTTGTTTAACCTCACGGATAGTGTTATATTCAGTTACATAAATTTCTACAATTTGTCCATCTTGCGTTTTCACGCAAAGTTTAAATGAAGTTGTAGTTAACACCAATGTTGACTCGTTTTGAATATTACAACATTTCATGGTGCTAGAATCATCCAATTGTTTTCCACCGAAGAGAAAGCATTGTCTATGAACAGGAATATCTATACATTTCTGAACCATTTCTTTGACATCATGGATAGTGTTATTTTCCGTTAGATAGAGTTCTATCGCTTTTTCATCTTGAGTTTTCACATAAAGTTTAATTGTTGTTAAAATTAGCTCCAATGTTGACCCTTTTTGAATATTATAAGTTTTTAAGATGGTATTATCATCCAATCGTTTTCCATCAAAAAAAAGACGTTGTTTATAATCAGGGATGCCCTCACGTTCCTGAACCATTCGTTTAATCTCATGGATAGTGTTATTTTGCATTAGTAGGAGCTCTATCGCTTTTCCATCTTGCGTTTTCACATAAAGTTTAAATGGAATTTGAACTGCACTGATAAAGTCTCCTTCCTAAGAATAAAAAAGAATAATTCAATAACATTGCACGAGTAATACTTTTCTTTACATTCTATCTATCATTAACAGTTACATAAATATTTCATATAAACACCAACCTTTATTCCTAAATTTTTAAGAGTATCAGTATTTTGTAAGACTTTTCCGCAATAATTAAGATTATAGTCGTGAATTTCATCTTTAATATAAGTTTTAAAGCATTTCAGCAATAGCTCTACCATAGTATCCGCTGTCACATTTGCTTTATAATAATGGGGTCCAATAGTAACAGAAAAAACTGGAGGGAGATTAGGCACTGAAATCAAATACATTTTTTGTAAATTATTTTAATTCAAAAAGCGATTTCGAACAAATTGCTCGAACTTAAAGTACTTATCTTTGTAGTACAGTAGTACATGTTATGAGAAATCTGGATTTCCCGGGATAAAATAATTCAATGTCGATCATTTTTATTTTTATATATAGTGCACATTTTTTTTGTGTTAATAACTCAGATCCCGTTTTCCTATATGAATATGTCTGTTAACAAGGGAAAGACCGCTAAATGTTCCCTTCAAGCTAATAAAACTAAAACTTCTGCTGCTAGGAACCTTCGCTCTTCTGGTTCCTCTTCTCCTGCTTAAGTTCCTTTACGTCAAGATAATCATTCCCCTCCTCCAGCTACTACCAAGTGTGTTAGAACCGCTGATGATGCTATGGACACTGACGAACCTGCACCTACCGTTACTCCCTCTACTCCTGCTAATACTACGATTGTTCCTCCTCCTTCTGTTACTTCTTTTTTAGATACTTTTATGCACGCTCCTGCTGACACAGCCACTAATCATGCTGCCTCTCCTGACACTTCCGCAGCTGCAATCAAGGATGACTCTAACCATTATTACACAGCTGCTATGCTCAACTCTATTGACGGCTTCTGGAATACTTCCAATTTGATTAGTTTTATCTTTTTCGTATTCTTTTTTTTAGCATTATAAAATACTTTTTACATTGTAGTATACCAAAAGTAAATAAAAATTTAGATTTAATAGGACAGTTGTCCATCATTTTAATAAAAAGATTTTTTTGTTACATTAAACCAAGTATTTTCTTTTGATTACTCTTTATAGAACTATACAATATATATCATAATACTAAACTTAAGGTTGATTCTACAGCATGCATAAGATAGTAGTAATTAATGTAATTACTATTGCAATAAATATTCAACCAGAATATCTTACAAAACAAGTTCTTGTAAAAAAATTACAATTTAAAAAGATAGTGCTAAATGGAAAGAAAAATAAAAAAGAGTTAGAAATTTATTTAAAGAAAAAATTAAATAAAGAAATGGAATGCAAAAATCAGATAAAATTAATTGTAATAACTAATATTTTAATATTTGAATCATATATACAATATAGAATAGGAAAGAATAATTAATAATAACTTGGCATATTAATAGATGTAGCAAATAGCTAAACTATATAATAATATATTCTACACTTAGTTTATTATATTAAAAATAATAGAGATTACTTACCTATTTATTTATTTATTATTTAGTGATGTTAATAAAGTATATCTACTGAAAGTTGACTGAATTTTAAAGAAAAACTAAAAATTTAATAAAAAAGAAACAGAAAAAAGAATAACAAATCAAGTAAAAATATTGCTAGAAGGATATTTTATAATATATAATGCAGTTAAAAGTAATTATTATACTATTTAAGATATGTAATGTGAGTTAAAAAAATGTGTATAAAAGAATAAAATTAATGAATTAGATCTAATCATAAGATCTTTTTTTAGTTTCTAGTCAATTCCTAGCAACTTTTTCATAACTCAAATCATAAGGTACAGATCAACTAATCAGATTTTGTGTAATAACTAAGTCATTATTATTATAAAAAAGTTGATCTTTGCTTTCAAATCAAATTAGCATTATGTTTTTATGATCTATTATTAATATATTAGATCAGATAATTTATATAAGTTATTTAATGTTTATGAGAAAATTTATTACTTTAATGAATATATAATTAAAAACTACTTAATAGGTTATAATTGATTATAAAGAAATAAGGTAATTAGTCAGTATATTGCGAAAATAAAATTGAATAAAAAAAATTTTTAACAATCTTATAAGCTAATTTAATTTGAAAACATGAATTACAAAAAGTTATCTATAAATGCAGTAAATAAATGCAACATCAGCACTGTTAATACATAAAATCAGATTATACTTCAATATATATAAAAATATTTTATTTTAAATATACATAGCATATGTGTAATATTTATACAGTCGCACCTTCATAAGTGTATACATCTGAGGCCTGGCCATGCACATGCAGTTAAGTAGGATGTATATTTAAAGAACAGCCAATAGAAAAATCAATATTAATAATTGGATAATATTTATTTAAATTCACTTTTATTTTATATTTTTATTTTAATGAAAGAATTGCACATACAAAAATGATTTGTGATGTAAAATAATTTAATAAAATTAAAAAGATTGAAAAATATTTTTTATTCAAAAAAATGTAAATTGTCAAATTTATTTATTTTAAAAAACTAAATAACTATTGATAATTGGTCAATATTATATAATTATCACGTGAATGCATTTATAGAAAATATTCTAATATACCCAGAATTCAGAATTATATGCACATGTAGAACATAAAGCGAGGATGTGTACTTAGCTCTAAATCCCTAGCTTAGGACTAAGCCATAACTAAGGTTGCCTGCCGAAACCTATTTGGCCTAATGCCGAAAGGAGAAACTCCACATATAGTGCCGTAACTGTGAAACTGCGAAACTGCCAAACTGCCAAAACTTGTGAAACTGCCAAAATTTGCAAAACCTTTATAATGAGTTTATCCGTAGTTTCGGCATAATAAATAATAATATTTTATATGAATTTCGGCATAATTACAGCATTCCTAATATTTTATTTTTAATTTCAATCTCTAATAAATTTATATGTAAATAAACAACGTTGTAATATTCTAATAATAATATTATTATTGAAAAATCCTAACAAATGCAACAGTTGTGATTTTTTTTCTGGGAATTCTACATAAAAAAAAAATAAATTAATTAAATTTATCAGCCCCCTTCTTTACCTAAATTCTAAAGTCCGGTCATGTTTTTCGTCCAGAAACACTACAAAAAAGAAAAAAATAAATAAGTTAAATTTATTAAATAAAAAAACAACGAAAAACCTTTTCTCAGCCCCCTCTTTTACCTAAATTCTAAAGTCTGGTCATGTTTTTCGTCTGGCAACACTACAAAAAAGAAAAAAATAAATTAGTTAAATTTATTAAAATAAAAAACAATGAAAAATCTTTCCCTCAACCCTTCCTTACCTCATTTCCAAAGTCCGGTCATGTTTTTC